TATTGCTAATACAAAGATAAGTTGCTGAGGGAGAAAGTACTGTCTATGAGGAGCAACGTATAAGCTCAAAGAAATCGTTTTTAAGGAGTGGAAAAATTGAAAATGAACTTTGTGCGTAGAATCTCAAAGTAGCAGGAAGTTGCTCCTTTGTCAAAAATGTACCTTTTGGCCCCAAGCAAACTGAAAATTATCAAATCTTTGAAGCTTTTAAATGATACCTATTCACTTTCTTAGATTGGGCACATCCCAACAGGAAAATCTCACTGCGTGCACAGGAGAATCATAGGCTGAGGAATGGAAGACTAGGTCAATGTCAAAGTAGTTATGTGTAGCCGGTGACATTAATGACCCTATTCATTGGCTTAATTGTTGTAATCAGAAGGGAATGGGCACGACGTCCTATTCATATGATAATGTAATCAGAGGGCCAGTTCATTACATTTTTCATAGTACTGGCACTTAACCTGGGAGTCCAAATGTAGAAATATGTCATCCTTTTAGCATTTCTCTTGAAAGGCTTCCAATAATTTTTACTCTTTAGTATTCAGACACCATGTTGGGTTTGGGAAATATAACGTCCACATTTCTGTAGGTTCAGTCACCCCATGCCATTTTTATATTTTTGTTGTGATGGTTTGTGGAACACTACCGTGCTCAATTGGCTGCCGCGTTTCGCCCACAAGGTACACAGTCACTCCACTTTACAGTATATCCTGTGAAGCTCTTTGAGACGTCTCGAAGACATGATAAGGTGGTATATCAAATGCAAGGATTATTATTATTGTTATAAGTTGTATTGATGTTGGCTTTGGATGGTACCCGGGGTGGCTTCTGTTTCAGCTGGCTCTGCGGCAGCCTGCAACTTAACTATCTTGAGAGCCGCTGAAGTTCACAGAGTTTAGTATTCCAACCATTTCTGCGATTCAGCAAAATTAGCATGCAAATGCGATGTGCCTTTAGAATACTAAGCAGGGTATAGCGGCGGAATTCTGTCGCGTGTGTGTGTGTGTGTGTGAACAGCACTTGGTGAAATCCGTTTTAAAACTCCGCAGTGAACTCAGAGGAAGACAACTTTACAATGCTGTGATGGTGGCTAGAGCAAATGGGCATTTCTGGTCTTTACTGAGGATGTCCTCCCGACATGAAAGGCGCTATACACATGTAATTTTATATTGTATTGTGCCAAAGCTTGCTAACAAACGTTTCTTTATGAAGGCGTTCGCTCAGTTTACCAATAGTTCCCCGCTTTGCTGTTTTCCCTCTCTTATGTTTATGGTTTAATTTAATGGCAGTAAGCGCTTCATTATACAGTATTAACAGAGAATATAACAGCGTGTTTTGTGCTGAATTCAAAACACAGGGAATTATTCTATTTATTTATGCATCTTATTCCCTTGTTATATTAATCATAATCCTTGCATTTCGCCCACAAATATACAGTCAATTGACTTACAGTATATTCTGTGAAGCGCTTTGAGACTTCTGAAGGCGTGATAAGGTACTATATCAAATGCAAGGATTATTATTATTATTATTTGATGTTGTGCCTTATCAGGTCTTCGAGATGTTTCAAAGCACTTCGCAGAATACATTGTAAAGTGTAGCGACTGTGGATTTTGTGGGAGAAACGCGGGAGCCAATTGTGCACAGCAGCGTCCCACAAACAGTCATGAATTGAGTGACGATTTTTTATGTATTTATTTTGAGTGAGGGATTATTAACCCCCGGAAAGTGATCTTCCAATCGACTAACAACTGGTTATGGCAACAATTTGTGTTTAGATAGCTCCCTTCCCTTCGGATAATGTCTAGGAGTGTTGCACGGCACAGTATATATACTATATCGACCGCTATTTCTTCTCCTTAGTACTCAACTCTTCTCTCAGAGTCCTAGTTTCACATTCACCCCTGGCTGAGTGCGTCAGGTCCTATGTGAAATGGCTTGGGATATTGCTTGAAGCAGTTTCTTTGTGGGTCCTGCCATACTTACATACTGAGTGCAAAAAGCATTGTCTGAAATGGAGCTGTTCACACCTCGTATAGTTGCAAGTGATTTTTTTCCCTGAAATTAGGCTTGAATTTCAGTATTAGACCCCAGTTGCTTTGCATCTACCCCACTGTGCTGAACCTGGGAGCGATTGATCTTAGAATTGAGTGCTAAAACTAGGAAAGTGTTCCACCCCTTGGAGCCAACCTTGATCAGCATAACTATCTGCCAAAGAACGGTATCTTAAAGTGCACTTAATGAGGACCGTAGGAATTTTTATGACTGTTTTATGTTGGATTTTAATGAGCGTAGGGGGAACATAAGTACATTGTGAGCATCTTAAATTCTCCAGTGCACAGTATTATGGAATAAGAATATCTGGTCCTCTTGCAAGTGTGGAGGCAGTGACTGTGCTGGTTACAATCTTCTGGTATAGGCCCCCATAGAGCAATAAAGAAAAAAAATTCCATCAACCAATTGCATGTTACAGGAAATTATTACAGATTAAGGAGTTGTATCCAGTTCATGTTTATTTCTTCTCCGCCAACAATACTGAATAGCGCAGCAATTTGTCTGACTCTGAATGCTTTACAAATGCGATCAGATGATAAAGTGTGTAGATTACTTTTTAATTCTCCTCTGAACTAAATCCGCCAATACATAGAACTCTTGCCTGTCAAACCTGGAGTTTGAAAATTAAATTAGGGATTAACCCAATATACTGATCTCTGACAAGATGATTGATGTTTAAATGTCACCCATGTTCTAAAATCCTCTCTCGCATACACCCAGAACATAAAGCGATATTGTCTTAATTGTATGATGGGGTGAGGGGGGGTTTATTTTTAGTTCTTATGTTTTGAACCATACTAGATAGATACAGTAATATAATAAGTAAAAAACAACTTGCGTTTATACAGTGCCCTTCATGCAGGGTAGGTCTCAGAGTGCTTGAAGCCTGATGTCGAGCGGTGGTCGAGCGGGGGGGTGGGAGAAAGTGACCGTAAATACGGTCGCAGAGGACGTTTGACAGTCTTGATCTAAAAGAGAAGGGGCAAGGTGGAGGGATCGGGCAAAAGAGCGACAAAGTTATAGGTAGAGTGAGAATAAAACAGGAAATTTATTTATAGGAAATACTTTGGTAGAAAATGATCCATAATGGACTAGTTTAAGACATCCTGGTTGCTGAATTGGCAAAGGAGCTGCCTGTGTGTAGTTAAGGAATCAGAAAATCTCTGAAATAAGCTGAAATAGCTGATCTCAGCGAGGTTCATGTTATGTTATGTTCTACTTGGTGTCCCTGGAGTTGGACAGTAAAAAAATTCGACCAGAATTTATGTTTCTCATTGTTATTTAGTGACCCCCCTGATGGACTGAATAGGTCTTTGTGATGGGGAGGGAGGAGAGGATTAGTTTCCTCCCTCTCCCCTCTGCATTCGCTGTGCTATGAGTTTGGGTAATGCAAATTCAGTTCCTGCCCCGTCAGCGGAAAAATGTCCCAATTGGTGATTTTTGACTTGGACAGATCCCAGGGATAGCTCATGTTAAGTGAGGAACATTGACACTGAGCTGGAGTTAAAGCTCCTCTGTGAGATGGAAGGAGCTTTATTTTGCATCTGGCCCATGCTATGCTTGACCTGGTTAGTAATTAATCTTAACCCAGGGTGCCCACAGTGTTCTGTTAGCAGAAATTGTCACCAGTGGTATGAATGCAGTTTAACAAACCAAAGAGGGTTTTAGAATTTTATATTTCGGGGCATCCTCCTGACGAAAGGAGCTGTATAAATAACAAAACTGTCCGCAATTGGCTGCCGCGTTTCGCCTACAAAATATGCAGTCAATTCACTTTACACTTTGTATTGAGGAGTCGAGAAGATGCATAAAGCTCTATATTAAATGCAAGGATTATATATTATGTACTAAATTTTATGAAAGCAAACCTAGCTAATAAAAAAAGGAGCTTGTTGAACTTGTGCTTCAACCTACTGATGTAAAGATTCTTCCAACACTGGCAAATCTGTGCCTTCATGTTAATGAAGCTTTTAGGTTCTGGGTCCTTGTTAACCAGACCTGATTATACAACATAATGTGGAATGAATATTTGCCCCAATGATAGGATTCGGAATGAATGGAAAAGCAGATTACAGAGACAAACTACTGGGTCAGTCAGTGCTACGCGGTTTCTTACTGTGGACTTGTGATGCCTGCTGTATATAATGTGTGTTTATGTGCCCGTGTTTGGAACTTTTCTGTATGATCACGAAGCACATGGAGCAACAACAACAAGTTGCATTTATTTAGCGCCCTCTCATAGGCTTGCGGCCCAGAGAGCAATTCTGTATGACAGCAAAAATAAGGAAAAAGTAATAATCTGTTAGGAAAGAGAAAATGATCTAATTGAAGAGTTCAAATGGTGCAGGAGCAAAACTGGAATGAATTCTTAGAAACATGGAATTCAATCCCACCTTATCCCTGTACTCTTTCACAAAGAGCTTCTCTCTATCATTCTTATTAACTGAAGTCGGAAATGTGCCTTTTTTTTTAGTAAATTTCCTCCTGTCCTCTTTTTATGAAGTACTAATTACTTTACATCATAAAATGACATTTTTTCCCCTTTCTGGTAGTTTTCTCCTACTTTTCATGTGGGCTATCGATGATCTCTATTCAGCTAATGCATATTGACAGCCTCACTGAAGGATTATATTTGTAATGTTATCACTGCAAGATTGCAGAGACTTAATCCGTACCAGATTACTGAGAAATGACACAGCTCTTTGTATTATGTATATTTTTTTTAAAAAAAGCCACAAAAAATATTGCACTCCAGTCTTTGAATGGATTGATTGAATGTTTGGCTTGGGGTAATAGATTGCTCCATTTTATTACTAATAGCCAAGCCTTCAACTCTGTCCTTGATTGCACACTTTTGTGCACTTTTAAGAGGAGCATTTGTTAAGGACTCTAGTACAAAAATGTATTGATTTTAGCCAGTGCGATTTTTTTTTGTTAAACAGGTCATTGATCTAATGTGCAGCACTGTAGATAGTAGGAAGTTGGTACAGGGGAATGGCGGAGGGGAAGATCCCAGGCGCGGCAAAACCGTAAGCAAGTTTCCTTACTCCACACGCCTCTGTTTACCTAACAGTAAGTTGTTGTTAGCAGATTGCTTTCCAGGGGGTAATAATCCCTCAAAAAAAATAATAATTTGGTCACTCAATCCAAGTCTGTTCGTGGGACACTGCTGTTGTGCAATTGGGCCTGCAGTGTTTCGTCCGCAAAATACAGAGTCAGTTCACTTTACAGTACATTCCGTGAAGAGCTTTGAGACATCTCAATGATGTGGTAAAGCACAATATCAAATGCAAGGTTTATTATTTGTTAATAACGTTATTATTATCTGGTTCATGGCTCGGGGGCAGGTACTGTATTGGAAGAAATCTGGGAGTAAGTTCTCCCTGCTCACGGCAAAAGTGTGGAGAAGATGAGAGACACACCTTAAACAAATGAGCAAGAAGCAAATGAGAAAAGTATAGATTTGAAGAAACATTTAAAAACTTTAAGATCTGGAAATTTTCACTATCCAGGCGATCAATTAATGAATAATTAGGAGTTAAACTGACCCATTTAAAATGATCAATTAGCAGATTAACATGTGCAAAGATTATAAATTGAGGCCATTAATCTGCTGCATAAAATATACCTTCTGTGTATGGACTGGAAAACTACATTACTAAAGAGAAAGATAAGACTAAGAAGTAGAAAAAAAAATAATCGCCTGACATATAAAAGACGAGGTTGTTGGGAAATTAAATTCTAATTATAGTGAGAATTTTCACGTTTAGTACCCTCTTGGGACTGGTTTGATGCTGTACTGAGCTGTTCTGGTGAAGTCTGATGGACGAGAGCAGTTGTGTGTCCAGAGTAGTTGCTTTTAAAGCTACTCTTACAAGGCTTATCTTAAGATGTTAGGCAAGTTTCCTTACTCCACATGACTCTTGTTTACCTAGGGACCTGATTGTTAATCGATTGGCTAAAATAATAATTTGGTCATTTAATCCATCACTGTTTGTGAAACTGGCTGTCGTGTTTCGCTCAAAAAATATAGTCAATTCATTTGACAGTATATCCTGTGAAACGCTTTGAGACGTCTCAAAGACGTGATAAGGCTCTATATCAAATGCGAGGATTGTTATTGTTAGACTGGATGATCGGGAACCACCCAGTCTGACAATAGCAAGTAGATGATACTCACCCAGAACTGTACTTTGCTCAGGTCACTTACTGAGTTGAAAAAGTGTCTGTGCTTGTTAAAGTAGAGCTGCCCATCTTAACGTGATCACTGGAACAACAACAACATCTTGCATTTACGTAGCACCCCTGAATCCATTTAGCGTCCCAGAGCGCTTGGAACAGCATACAAAACAATAAATTACATTTGTATAGCGCCTTTCATGTCGAGAGAACATCCCAAAGCACAATAGTGGGAGTGGAGGGCCAATGAGATTTGTGCTCAAAACAAATGCACCTCGTCATAGACACAATATATTTGCATCTATAGCGTTGTACTCCACCACTGTCACCATTCTGAGATGCTGCCCTGTGTGATGGGCGTGATACCTGCAAGTTGTTGTTGATATAATTTTAAAGGAAAAATGACCCCTCCTTGCTAGTGAGTTTCCTGTTTTTTTTTTTTACTTCATCTCAAGTGAAATTGGGCTTCAGAACACAGTGAGGAAAACTTTTTTTATATTTAAAAAAATCCCACCCCTTCCCCTCCCCCCCACTCCTTTCCCTTCCACATAATTTAGGGTTGTAATAATTCGACACAACTGGGGATCAAACCCTGGCATGTTCCAGGCTACATTGACTTAGCTCATTGCGTTAGCCATTGGGTACAGCTTGCTAACATTTTCTCCTTAACATATAAAATATTTTTTATATCGCCCACAAAACATACTGTCAATCCTCTTTACAACAAATTCTATGAAGCGCTTTGAGACGTCTCAATGTTTAATAAGTCGCTATATCAAATGCAAGACTTATTATATTAACAACTATATTTGAACATTTAAGTGGTACGTACAGATTGTATATATACAATACAGATTATATTTGTACCCTCAACTCATGTTTGCAATATTATACCTGATTGCAATGTGACGTGACTATTTCTCTCTCTCTCTCTCTCTCTTTCAGGCGTTGAATTCACCATTGACCCTTGTCCCGACATCTCAAGGGGGCCTTGCTCCCTTGCGTGGCCTTGGGGAGACCCCGGCAACTACCCTCCGCAGTTCACTGGGAAACCCACCTGGTCTCACTGGGGGGCTGGAAGCATTGAAAAATTCTTTCGGAAGCTCAACGATATTCGGGGTAACGAAAAAATTATCCAGAAGGCCAAATGTCTTCCCTTTGTCATGAAATTAGATGAAAATAATCCAGACATGCTACCCTTATTACTGCGGTTATATGCCCCAGGATCTGAGATGGGGTGATTTATTATTTTTCATTATCATATCACATCATAAGGAAGCATAGAGTGGAAAGAGGCTGATGATACCTATTCTGTATGATACCTGTTCCTTCTTCAGTCTCCTTCTGCGATCTGCCCTATCGTTGACTCTCTCACTCACTAAATCTGAAGGAAGATTTTGCATACATCATCCTGGTCCCCTGAATTAAGATAATTGAGCATTTGTCTGAAATATTTATCCATCTCATTCAAACCAGATCTCTTTCTCCTCCTCGGAGATCAAAAACTTCCCCCTTGCTAAACTCCAGCCCTTTAGCATTGTAGTAGCTCTCGTCTCACGAACACGGGTTTGATTCCCGCGTGGGGCGAAACCGTAGGCAAGTTTTCTTACTCTACCGCACCTGTTTACCTAGCAGTAATAACAATTCCTCCCCCTCCCCCCAAAAATAATAATGATAATTTGGTCATTCAATCTCCGACTGTTTGTGGGACGCTGCTGTGCGCAATTTGCCGCCGTGTTTTGCCCACAAATTACGCAGTCACTCCACTTTACATTGTATTCTGTGAGACATCTCAACGACGTGATAGGGCGCTATATCAAATGCAAGAATTATTATTGTTGTGACCGTTCAAATGATATAAATGTCAGCAGAAAGAAAACAGAAGTTGTTTTCTGGTGTGCTTTTTTCCAGTTCTAGATGACAAAGATTATCATTGCTTATTTCTATATATTTCTGAATAATAATATAATAATAAATAATATATATTGATATAGCTCCTTATTACGTCTTCGAGACGCCTCAAAGCGCTTCACAGAATAAACGGTAAAGTGTAGTGACTATATTCTTTAGGCGAAACGCGGAGCTAATTGCACACAGCAGAATAGTCAGTGAAGTGTAGTGACTATATTCTGTGGGCAAAACACGGAGCTAATTGCGCACAGCAGTAACCAAATTATTACTGGTAGTATTTATTATTTATAATCCTTCTGTTAGACATAATACAGATACAAACAAAAAGTTGGATCGGCTCGTCAGTCAAATCTTAACTAAACAACATCAATCAGCCATCTCTTTGTGCGGAGGTTGAACTCAAACTCATAATGTCAGTTTGTGTTTAGTGATTCATTTTTTTTGTTGACTTCCATGGGTGCTGAAGATCTCCAAAGCAGATGGCCTCACAAAAAGTCTTCTAGGGTCAAAGCAAGAAGAGAAGATCTCCCTAAACCTACCAGACTTCAGTGAAGAGGAGGAAATCAGTGAAGAGAAGGTACACTACGCTTATGTAACGTATTGCGTTTGCTTTTAGTTGGAGGAAAATGGGGGTAGATGGCCTCTATTCTCATCAGTCGTGTTTAGAAATTGTTAGAAAAAACACCTGAGCTCAGTTCTTTGCTAGCTGAAGTCATTAACTTGCATCGTCTCTTGTCATTCAGCGTTGTGGCAACAGTAAGTCTAGGTCAGGTGTTTTCTTATGAAAACATAACTCTTTGCGTGGATTTAAGTATTGACGCACTATACATTATTAATGCAGGCTTGGCTCGATATGTCTTCAAATGACATTTCTAAACAAAAGTAGATTCCCTGGTGTTGATTTGCATGAAGAACTGCCTTTAAATATTGCTGAGGTCTTTTGACACACTGCTTGAGAATACGAAAATGCCATTTCAAGGTGTGTTTTTTTTAAGTGTACGGAAATTATACACATTAAAGTGGAATATAATGGGAAATTATCTGAAGGTGATGGCAGTGTTCTGGGGAAGGGAAGAACAGAGTGTGAAAATTAAAGAGCGAATATATTTATTTCCGCAGAGCCCTCAAGGTACTGCTCGGCTCATGAAAAACCTGCACATAGACGTAGGGATCCTCGGTGATGGCTTTGAATATGAGGTACGACGTCAGTCGAGAAGAATTTGAAAGTATAAATGTTCTGCTGATCACGCATTAAATCACACAAAGCTCGCATGAAGATGGGTCTTCGGCTCATTTGCGGAGTCCTGAGACGTCTTGAAGAAATGATAATGTGCAATATTAAATGCAGGATTATCATTACGTATAATCTAATCGAATACCAACACCAGCTTCACCCCATATTATGGTATGCCTGCCCTGGTAACCAGTGTCTTGGCCAACAATCCATCAAATATAATTGATCATTCACTTTATTGTACGACATTGCTTTGTGCAAATTGGCAGCTGTCTGAGGTGTTTGAGACGACCTCCCGACATGAAAGGTGCTCTTATCAAATTCAGGGAATTATTATGATTATTAATTATCATTATTAATATACATAGTTACAGGTGGCTGTGCTTAACTTGCCTTCACAACTCTGAACGTGTATTTTCTTGTAATATTGCCTTTGATGTCTGAAAATAACATTTTGGGTTGACATTCCCTGTTCTATTCGATATCATGTGTTCCTTCGTATAATTCCACCATAAATTAAAATGTACGTTTTGAATCACTAAACCCGAACGATCCATCCTGAGGATGTATTCCTTTCAAATTCACAGTCTGTGACAGACTCTGTGAGAAAGAAGAGCAACTTGACGAGGAAGGTTTTAATTGGGCACGGAACCAGAAAATAAAATTTATTCAAAAATGCTGCATGATAACTACTTCTAATTAAAACGGGGATCGCTTTGTCTAAGTATGTGATTTAGAACTTCACTCTCGTCTCCCGTGTCCTCTTCCAGACTCCACCACCCACTGGGCGCATTGCTGTTAATTCCATTGCTATTCTTGATCGAGTTCTTTGTATAATAAGTACGTTATTGATTCATGGCAAGAATGTGTTACAGTGTGTTAGATTTTTTAGTTTTTTTAAAGACGGCATACAACAAACTGTAAGGGGGAACCTGATGAGTGTTGGAGTCGGTGCATGATAAGCGTCTTACAAGTTAGTAATTACCTTGAGGGCTTTTCTGGTGATGTCCAAAGTAGCAAGAACATGGCTCGTGCTTTGTGAATGTCAGCGAAAAAACAATCCAGGATCATTCCCTAAAGACGGGAAAGCATCTTTTAACTATAAGAATAATCCTCGCATTTCATATAGCGCCTCATCATGTCATTGAGACGCCTCAAAGCGCTTCACAGAGTATACAGTGAATTGACTGTACATTTTGTGGGCGAAACATGGCAGTCAATTGCACACAGCAGTGTCCCACAAACAGTCATGGATTGACTAACCAAATTGTTTTTTTTCTTTTGGAGGGATTACACACGGAAAGCGATCCACCAATCGACTAATTGTCCTCTTTATAATATTCGTGTGAGGTTTTATAACCTGAACTGATCTCTCTCTTTTTAAAAAAAACAAGACTCTTAATTGTTACACAGCAGGTGTGAGTGGTACGGTGAAATTTAAAAGCTAATGAATATGATAATGACCCAGAAACTGAAGCTATTTGGTACTTAACATTATTGAATTAAAATGTCATCAGCATCTGATTACTGAGAAATATGTCAACCACAATTGCATCCATTACATAGTCTGAAGAATAATATCTATTGAAAAGCAATAAAAACAAATCAATGTGCAGGTTTAAACCTTTAAACAGAAACTTGAGTCCTGTAGCATAGTGGTTAGCACGCTCACCTCGCAAACAAGAGGACCTGGGGTTCGATTCATGTGCAGTGCGAAACTTTAAGCAAGTTTCCTTACTCTACACTACTCTGTTTACCTTCCTGTAAGTAGGAACCCTGTTGTTAGTCGATTGGCAGATCGCTTTCGGGGGTAAGAATCCATCCAAAAAAAGAATTTGATCACTCAATTCATGACTGTTTGTGGGACGCTGCTGTGCGCAATTGGCTGCTGTATTTCGCCCACAAAACATACAGTCAATTCACTTTACAACATATTCTGTGAAGCGCTTTGAGATATCTCAACCACACGATAAGACTCGATATCAAATACAAGGATTATTATTTTTATTCACCTTGTGCCTATTATTCCCTGTCCTTACTCCTCTGTTTAACTAAGCATAACCCAGAGAGTAAGAACCTTGTAAGCAATGGTCCCAACGATCCATTGCTGGATGCAGCTTAATCTTGTTTAATGCTGGACTTAACTTGCACTATTGCTGCCAGTAGTCCTGATTTTTTTTTGAGCCAGCTGTCTGACACTCGCGGAAACCGATCACCGTTGCTTAAGAGGCTCCAAACCAAACTCAGAATTCCATGTATCCCACCTACACATGGAAATCCCAGAGATAGATTGCTGGAATGGTTGTTCGCACTCCGTGCATCCCGCTTACCTAATTCTGTAAAGCAATAGGCGCAAGTTGGAGAGAGCCAAGACCTGGGGACCCCAGAGTGTGATTGGGGCAACTGCTGGCGCCCAACAACAACAACTTGCACTTATATAGCGCCCTTCATGCAGGTTAGCTTCTGAGAGCGCTTAACAGTGGCGGAGCCTAACTCCGAGACAGTGGGTGGGTGGGGGTGGCCGTAAGCACGATCGACGAGGAAAGTTTTCAGGCGGGAAGTTGAAAAAGGGGAGAGAGGGGACAAGGCGATGGGATTGAGGGGGAGAGTATCCCAGAGCTAACCAGCTAAACCCACATTGCTTACCATTCATATCACTGTCCGGCATACTTTCCCGCAGCAATATCCAGATGTCGGCTGCACTACTACAAGATAAAGGAGGTGGCGCTGCCTCTACGTTGCATGGTGTTCCACTCCACTGGACACAATAGTTGTGTTGTGTTCAAATGCGTTTACTTTTCTAAACTTCTCGGCTTTGAGACTCTGAAGAGAAATTAGCTCGTGAGAAATCATTATACATTTGCAAATTCATTACCACTCCTCAATATTGCAAATGAAGCAAGGAAACAAATGTTTTAATATTCAAAAGGTTTTCAATTATAATTTAAAATAACAAGGTTTTTGAACCCGCTGCTGTTAATATGTTTGTAGCACTTAAACTCGTGACGTTGTTTGTTTCTCCACTTGGTTTGCTAAAAGACAGCAAGAGTTCTACGTTGTATTGTGCAATGCTGCAATGTCGCTACTCATTGAACGCTGTTTTACATCGACTCCAGTATTCAGTGGATGATAATGGATGCTTGGCACTGATTATGAGGTCAAAATGTAATCAAGGGGTTCAGATAACGTTAATCAGAGCAAAGCTGGAGGGGTTTTCAAACTGAATTTTGAATCCGAGATGCGTGCGTTTTCTTACTTAACGAATAGCGTTAAGTTCTTGAAAGCTCTTTTAATTTTCTCATCCAAATTTGAATTTGTTCCCCCCCGCCCGCCTCCATATCAATGGCAGCTCACAGGACAGGATTAATGATTGTAATTTATTTGTTTCGAGTTTATGGAGGGTGATTAAACAAATTGATTATCATGAAATCATACACTCCAGGTATGCTGTATAGTGAGTAATGAATACAGTGGGAAATGGAACCAAAGTGACCTTGGAAACCATGAGAGTGACGTCTAAATAGCTTCAAACTAAAATTAGCTTCCTGGGCACATGTATGTGCATGCATAATGTACGCCGACCCACATGCGCTCAGAATATTTCACACACGTCAGCTTCACTGAGATGTTCTCTTTGTCAGAAAGAAAGTTTTTTTCCCCCATTTACCCAAGAATCATTGCACACAAGGGCAAATTAGCACAAATTCAGAGAGTGCTTCCAGCCGTGCGCTGTATCTGAAATCAATGATGCCCCCTCAAATGTTTTGCTGCAGGAGAGAGATTTTCCTGCGCCCAAGTAAGCACATTATTTTCTGTAGCGTTGGCTGTAGAGGTAGCTTTGCATTGTGTGAAGCCACAATGGAGGGGGTAATAATCCTTCAGAAATAAAATTTTATTTAAAAAGATAATAAAAATTCGTTCACTCAGTCCACGACTGTTTGTGGGGATGCTGCTGTGTGCAGTTGGCTGCTGCATTTGGCTCACAAAATAAACAGTCAATTCACTTTGCAGTATAATCGGTGAAGCGCTTTGAGACGTCTCAAAGACGTGATAAGGTGCTATATCAAATGCAAGGATTATTTTATTATTGTATCTCAATTTCCAGCATTCTGTGCATCTGCAATTGGAAGCTCATTCACTATATTAGATTTGTTGTGGTTCTTTTCATTTGTTTTTGAAGGACAAAAAAAAAGAATCAATACAATAGTCCTCACAGAGTTAAAGATTCGAACTCCAGCATATTCTCTAGCTGTGGTGTAGATGAAGCACCAACCCTGCTGGCAGAATGAATCGGGTAACAGTAATTAGATTTTCCCCTCTGGGATTCGCAAAAAAGCAACACCAAATTAATTCCTGGTTGCTTGAGCAGCTTAGTAATTATCTGAGTTGTGAATGTCTGAGAAAGGAGAGAAAAGAGGGGACGTGCAGTGGCGTCCTTCACTATTATCACTCCGCTCCACCATCGGTGGCCACGCTTACAGCTACTATACCCTGAAACTCACTGGAACTCTCTTCCTCTATCCCTCCGCCTTTCCTCTTCATTCCTCATCTTCAAATCGCACCTGAAGACCTTCCTCTTCGACCCCTCTCCATCCGGCTCGGCTTCGTGCTCCGCCACTGTCAAACACTCCGGGACGCTACCCTGCGTGAGGGGTGCAAGTTGTTGTTGTCAGCATTTTTCAAAAGTATTTCATCCTTGATTTCCATCCCCACAGTTTTAAGTAGAGCCATTCGCAAGAGTTGTATTATTTCTCTCTCTCTGTCTCTCTGCTGGATATTGTGAGTGCAAAAGGATTACGTTTGAAGATTCTGTGCCTTTCGGAGGAATCGAATTAACACAAAAAAGGCCGGGAGTAAAGGGTTGGGGGAATTGAATAATCTCCTTCGCCACAAGTGCTCCCATTAAAAATTTCGGCTGCAGTGACACTAAATCTCCCTGTACGATTTGTCAAAGTACAGAGTGTGTCCTCTCAGATTATATTCTTCAAACTCATACCAGCATTAAGGTAATATATGCCATCTCTCTATCTTTGAGTAAAGCTAGCCAGTGCTGTGTTTGCCGAGATATTTAGGAATGGGATGAATATTTTTCTTTATCTAGCTTTTAAACGAATTGGAAAATTTGTATAAGTATCGTGAGGCAGTGAATAATAATTCTTGCATTGATATAGCGCCTGCCACATCGAGAGGACATTTTAAAGTGCTTCAAAGAATTTTACTGTAAAATGTAGTGACTGTATTTTATAGGCGAATGCAACAGCCAATTTGCGCGCAGAAAACTTGCCTTTGATATCTCGTCAGCAAAACATCTCAAAGTGCTTCACGGGATTTACGGTAAAGTGGTGTGACTATGTATTTGTAGGCATTTATCTGTTGCATTGCAGCTGATAATAGTCATCTTTTTTGACTTGTCCGTGACTTTCAGGAGAGTGCAGAAATTGTGGAGGATGAAGGTCATGATCCTGTGGATGAAGGGACTGAACCGGAGCTGCAAAACCTCCCAGCGTCCGATGAAGAAGCAGAAAGTCATAAAGAGGTGATTTTTTTTAGTACTCTTTATCACCAGAATGCGTCATGTCACTGAACCTGGATGGAGCACTCCCGCCCCTCCTTATTCCACTGTCTCCACTGGTAGAATTCCAGCTTTGTAATGGTAGTTGTGCTTTTTAGGATATATGAGCATTCAATGTTCATATATATAACACATAATATTACATTCGATATAGCGCCTTAACATATCTTTGTGACGTTTCAAAGCGCTTCACAGAATATACTGGAAAGTGAATTGACTATATATTTTGTGGGCGAAATGCGGCAGCCAATTGCGCACAGTAGCGTCCCACAAACAGTCGTGGATTGAGTGACCACATTAATTTTTTGAAGGAATTATTCCCCCTGGAAAAGCGATCCGCCAATCGACTAACAACCGGTTTCCTACTTACTGCCAGGTAAACAGGAGTTGGAGTAAGGAAACTTACCCAACGTTTCGCCCTGCCCGGGAATCGAACCCGGATCTCTTGCATGCAAGGCGAGTGCTCTAGCACTGAGCTACAGGACCCCACATACATTGTATAAACGCTTTCGACATCCAATGACCCATGTGATGTCAGTAACCAGAGTTGCTGTCCAAATGAGTTTATGCCGTTTCTCAAAGGAAAGATTTTTTTTCTTTCTTTATTCAGAACCTGCACAGAGTATTCATGGCAAACGCACCCGCTGGGCTCGCCACATCGGGGGAAGAAACGTATAGCCGTTAATCCCAGTGGTGTGCGGAGGTCCTAGGTAGTCAACCAAATACTTTATACTTTATTGCAATGGATATGGTGAGGAAGGCAGCCATTGTAAAAACGCTGTTTCCAGTTAATTTTTTTTATTCATGAATGAAACTGATCAGAAATGTTTATTCTTCATTGACTTAACAAAATAGAGGGAGATACCAACGATGCATTCAGTAAGCAATTTTTTTTTCCATTTTTAATCAAGAGCGGCCTATTAATTTTTTTTGAAGGCAGGAACATTGTATCAGTTATTCGATCGAGTCTTTGGCTGAGCAACTCATTTGCAAATTCATTTCAGATAGTGGGAAGTTCCTATTTGTGCTTTTAATTTCCAATTGAAGTATTTTCCAACAGCAAGCCATTGTTGTATTGGAGGCTGTATTGGGTGCACCTTTGTTTTAAACAGTTGGAACTCCTTGTTTCTTCACTCACCGTGCAAGAGTCTTTTAGTTTGCTTAGGGCAGGATAGTCCAACTGGCATCCCACTGGTCAATGTCATCCCCCTTCCCCTCTCCATTTCACCTGGAACACCCGTGCCCTCCATAACCCATAAACGTTATGTCATGTTTCTGGAAACGCAAAAATATTGCTTGTCCGGGCTGTGGACGTCTCTCACATAGTGCATCCAGCTCTCAGCAGCCAAAGGGTTGGATCACGCTGATTTAGGAAATGCACCGAATAAAAATGTTAAGACTACTCATGATGAACCATTCCCAATTGGATTCTGCCTGGTCTGTTCTGGTGCATATTTGTTCAGGATTCTACTGCAAATAGCAGTGGTGAGGATTAGTACCTCCACATCTGCTCCTCTGCACCTCAGTTTAAGTTGTATGAGGTATGTCCAATAACAGCAGCAGCAACTATAAATTGCATTTGTATTGCACCTTTCACATCGGGTGGATGTCACAAGTTTGCTGGACAATGAAGGGTTTGCAAGTGAGCTGTTGGTTGGAGTTGAGAGTGGAGGGAGGGCAAGAGTGGTGGAGGTGGGAGAATGACCGAAGACATGGTCAAAGAGGGAAGTCTTGAGAAGACACATGAAGACACATGAAGCACATAATGCTTACAGTTCCAACTGACTAAACACGTGGATGTTCATTCCTGGCGAAATGCGAATGTAATGCGTAGAATTCTGTTCTTATTTATTTTATAGCAACGAATGCAACGCTAGTGTCATAACCTTGCTAGCTCCTGTGTACTTTATCCTTATGTCTAATCCAGCGCACGGACATAGGAACATATATAGGTTAGTTAGTGTTAGTTGCAAAATAGATCTGACTGACTTGTACCTTTTTCTTCCCGATAACTTGTACCTTTCGAATGCAAAAAGGTATCGTTTTATCAAAGCCAAGGGAGAAGTGAGCCTGCAAGTGGAGTTGACTCTGAGAGCCTCCACGTGTTGCCCTCAAGCCCAAATAAGTTAAGCTTTGGCAACGAACTAATCGGTAACTGCGACTGGCTTGAAGGAAAAGTGGACCCGCAGGATGAGAGTGACGGAGAGGAGGAGGAGGTGGAGGTGGTCCTCATGAGAGCATCACGACCAGCCCGCCTAGGGCGCGCAGCGGCCATTGAGGAGGACGAGGAAAGCGAACAGAACAGAAGCAGCGATAGCAGGGGCAGCTCAGCTGACAGGTCTCCAGTTTCACCTCAGGCTCCTCACGGTGTTGACTTGAAGTCCGTGGGCAAGGAGGAAACCGTCCCCGACCAGGCGGGGGTAGTAGGAGCAGGAGAGGAGAAGGGCAATGAATTGAACGAACCGATCATAACGGACACTGCTATTCCTTGCATTAATCCCGATGATTCGGGGAATCTACCTGAAAAGGTAGGATTGCTAGCAGACTTAGTGCCCCCACCACCCTTGTAGTCTTGAACACCCATGTGCTGTTTGAGTGTGCGGTTAAGTGTTGAGATTTATCTGAACGGTTCCTTTCATGCTAGCGGCATCTATGTTTCAGTTTCTTTATGCTTAGTTCTTAAATAATTGATTTATCCACTGATGAAATTCAATGGGGAGAGGAGGGGGAGAGAGAAGACTTTCAATTTAGAATAAATGGCAATCTACTGGACAAAAACTTATTTTCTCTCCAGCTCACCAGAAAAAATAACAGGACAGACACATTGAGGACAAAATGCTCCTTCTCTTTGGTTTACCATCATCCTCAACTTGCTGGCTTCTCAGTTGCAATGTACATGTGTTCATGAAAGAAGAAAGTCAAATCACTTGCTTTCTTGTCGATTTGGTATCTGAATATTGATTGGCAGATCGCTTTCCGGGGGTAATAATCCCTCAAAAAGGAATTGTCACTCAATGCGCAACTGCTGTGTGCAATTGGCTATCGCGTTTCACCCACAATCTACAACAACTTGCATTTATATAGCTCTACTCATGCAGGGTAGCTTCCCAGAGCACTTGATATACACTTTATAATTTATTCTGTAAAGCGCTTTGAGACGTCTCAACAACGTGATAAGGCACTATATCAAATGCGAGGCTTTTTATTATTATATTGAGCACAGAATGACCTAGGCAATAATGAGGAGCTTGAAGGTGAAAATACCTTGGTTCTGATGCCAGTTGTCAAGGCTGATGTAATGTAATGTCACTGTAATGTGCCTTTGTGAATCATTACAGCACTGTACTCACACATCTATTCTCTCCGCGCACATCTTAATCCGTGAAAAATAACGTTGTGCTTTTTGTTTCCGATGTTAGATTAAATATACCATGCATCCGTGTTAAAATTCCAAAATAAACCTGGAGTAGTGTAGTGTGAGCTAGCTTACATCCTGTGAGTTTGTTAATGGAGATTACAGTGTAATGGGAGCCAGTTTGCTCCTTGGTATTTAGTCACAAACCTCACTTCATGAACCACTGCTATAAATGCGTTCGTAGTGATTATACTGGTTTAAACGCTTGCTTGTTTTGCTCGCTTACAAAGATTTCTCCATCTTGTTCAATGAATTATGCAGAGCACAATGTGCAGTATATTAAATATGCTACCAAGCTAACACATGTTAGCTTGAATATGCAAAGTTTTTGGGCATTGTTTTTATGCCTTGCAACACAAAAGTATAACGGCCTTTTTCATACTCCTAAGTACAGAGTGACCCTGTAGTCACGAGATGCCTCAGTTCAGTTTATACATTGATTGTGTAAACAGCGTCTTTCACTTAAGTGTAAGTGTTCATTGTGTAATATGTTGGCTGTTTGGTCATTGGAGTCAAAAGCCTGCGTCGACACTGTGAAACCTGTATCATCTTTGATGTGCACTTTTCCTTCCTCACATCTCCCGAAAAGAGCATCTCAGATTTGAGGGGATTGAGGTCTCAGTTATTTTAATTTGAATTTCAATTGTATTCTTTTAATTGTTTTCGTCTAATTAAATTGTTCAGAATTTCAGCCAAGCAATCACAATTAACCACCGACAACACCATCAGTCATCATTATATTTGTTTTGCAACTTGTGATTTGCTGTAATACCGCGCCTGAAATAAGGTTTCTGGAAATCAATTGCATTCAGATTTAATTAGTCTACAGTTACCATTCCTGTCAGTTAATTAGTTCACTGCTTTAAAAAAGCAGTTTAAAGAAGATTAATATTTGCTCTCCAAAGAGCCATTCATTCTTATTGCCTGTACTTACCCGAAACAGAACATGTTCGTTCGGAGCAAACGCACACAGTAGAAAAGCAACCGTTTTTTCGCTTTTAGCAACTTTCAAAAGCATCGCAATGTGTTCAACCTGTTATATTCACAAAAATATTTAGTTAATTTGTGATGTTGAATAGCTCAGTCCTCGACAGAATGATTAAAAACAAATTTGTAGCCGTGCTTTCAAAGCTTGTTCGTAATAATAATAATAATAAACATTGCATTTGATATAGCGCCTCATCATGTCCTCAAGGTCTCTCAAGACCTTCACAGGATAAACTGTAAAGTGGATTGACTGTGTATTTTGTGGGCCAAACACATAATACATAATAAAAATAATAATTCAAATGAGGAGTATTACGGTTTGGAAGGCAGGGAATTAAAACATTAATGGCTTATTACCAAGTGCTAAAATATTGGCTGAGATGCTTAAATATTCTTTGTAGGTTTACTATGCCATGTAATGTTCACTTCCTCAATCAGTCGTTCCACAGTCGTTCCTGTTGCCTTTTGATACCTGAGTGACTTTAGATAACAGTCTAAAATGTGGCTGGAACTGAGGGCAAGCAACACTGTGGGCCTTCAGCCTCGCTGACCCCACCCTTTGGAACTCCATCCCGCAGTCCCTTAGCCTCACCCCCTCCCTCTCTCCCTCCTTTGCCTCCTTCAAGGCCAGTCTCAGGACCTTCCTCTTCAACTGTGCCTTCAATCACCTTCCTACCCCTGCCGTCCACCCCCTGCTGATCCCAACGCCCTGCACGAGTCCAAATACCTGACTGTCCAGGGCCTTGGGACATCTTCCCAGCGTGAAAGGCCCTGCATAAATGTTATTTGTTGTTGTTATTGTCGTGAGATGTCCGATTCTACAATACAAATCAAATTTTATTGAAATCTTATTCTAGAGAAATGGTCTGTCTGTGTTCTTTTGCAGTTATATGTACAATGCAGCATTATTACACAGCTCTGTCCTAGTAATAATATATTATTGTGACTGAGTTATAATCTTTCGATTGAGGAACGATTGTTCTATGTGACTAATACAACATGTGACCAGCACTTTTAAAATGTATTCTATGGCATGCTTTGTACGGGTAGAGAAGTTCTGAATTGGTTTGCGTGTTCTGCTTGGGTCAACTAAATTTTATGCATTGTTAGCGATGTTTCGCCCACAAAATATGCAGTCAATTCAATTTACAGTATATTCTGTGATGTGCTTTGAGACGTCTTGAAGGCATGATACGGCGCGATATCAAACGCAAGGATTATTATTATTTTATACATCGTACCTTTGACATAGCGCCTTTCACATCGGGAGGACGTCCCAAAGCACTTCGCTGGTGTATATGCTGTAAAGTGTTGTGACTATGTGAGCGGCTGACCAACTTTATTTGTTGGCCAGGACAACGGCAGAGAGAAACTCCCTTCTCTTTTCGAATAGCGCCGTAGGATCTTTAACATCCACCAGAACAGGCAAATGGGATTCAGTTTAACATCTCATCTGAAGAACGGCGCTTCCAAAAATGTACCTGATAAGCAATTAGAGGTCCATATATGTCACATTCATTTGCTTTTCCAACTAAAAGTAACTCCAGGGAAGACTGTCCTTAACAGGAGATAATAAAACAAACGTGGAAATAATTACTTTGTGCAAATACTAGCTCAGTAGTTTCAGGAAGCTCTTTTATGATTAATAGGAGACGTTAAACTGAGGTCCCTCCTGCCTTTTCGGGTGAACATTAAAGATCAACCTGACACCATTTGAACTGAGGCTGACGTTTCTCCTGGTGTCCTGGCCAACAATCATTGCCGTTTGTGGCAATAAGACCCTGGTTGCCACATTTGTCTCCAAATACATAGTTACTGCACTTGACCTGCATTCCTTGTGAAATGTTTTGACTTCACAGGAGCCATATCAAGTTTGTTAAATGTGTTCGATCTTATAGAATATGACGACACTGATGCAAAGCAACAGCTATTCTTCTTGCAAGTTTTAACAAAGATCTCATTAACTGTCTTCCTCAGGAATCTGATTCCAGTGAAGTTATTAAGGAGCTGCAGTTATCGGAAGACTTGGAGGATGAAGTTGATAATTCAGTAAGTGTTGATCTGCTACGCAATGTGGCCACGTTACTGTGATGTGTTTGTAGAATGGAATGTCGGAATCGAGCCATCCCTCTGTGGTGGTCTCCAGTCCGGTTCCTGACCAGGTGGGTCTGCAGTATTCCAGGACACTGTTGATGTCAGCACAGCCCAAAGCTTGCTAGACAGCGATACCAATGGCAAGCTGTGTGGTTTTAGCTGGTTAGACTTTAGCAGTTACCCCATAGCACACTTTGGGGTCCCCAAGCCTTGGCACTAGCCAACCTGCGCCTGATACTTTCCGGAATTAGGTAAGCAGGATGTGTCCTTCCAGGGAGAGAGAGAGTGTGTGCATTCCATTCCAACAATCTATTTCTGGGATTTGTAGGTGGGTGGGATCATGAGAATCTCAGCTTGGTTTGGATCTTCTAAAGCATGGTGATGGGTTTCCACGTATGTCAGATACCCGGCTGACCCAAAAAAATCTTAGCCAGGTCTTCAGTGGATTTGCCTAGTGGAGGCCATATCCTTCTTGATATAGTGCCATAAAGAACATGAGAATTGCTGGCAAAACAAGACCAAGAACTATCCAGTTCACCTTCCACCATCCTGGCAGTCATGTCCCAAACTGTTTACTGTATCCTGAGATATTATTTCTCAACAGAAATGTATCCTAATTTGTTGTTATCTTAAATTGAAAGAATCAACACTTTCTGCTTCCACCGTCTCCCTAGAGAATGTTCCATAGATTTACCACTCGTTCACTGGAATAGCGATTCTGCAGATTTGTTCTGAATTGACCCCCACATCAATCGCAGGCCATATCCTCTGGTTCTACTGTTCAGTACAATCTGAAACAGCTTATCATGATCTACATTATCTAGTCTCTTTAGAATCTTGAAGACCATAAGTGTACCTTTCGTATTGAGGAATCTCAGAGAGCCTCACAGGATATACTGTAAAGCGATTACAACAACAACATATATTATATTTATATTGCACCCTTTATGCGGGGCACAGAACACTTGTTCTTGTTGTTGGTGGGCACGGCAGCCATTTTGCACACAGCAATGTCCCGTACACACAGCTTTCTTCTTACAACTTTCTGATCCAGTGGCAAGAGAGCTACCAACCAAGCCAGGCTGAGCAAGCAACTTCTTATTCTTAATGCCTAAGCAATGGTTCGTTGAGCTCCTGAGATACAGAGCTGGTAGGGGACTGTTCCCGATAAAACTATCTTTCAGAAGAGATAGGAATTCAAAGTAGATCCATGATGAATGCTTCTAGAGCTATTTTTTGGGGGGAAAAGCATCAGATAGTTATTAGCTGCAAGGCAACACTATCTTCTTCCTCCGCCCTCCCACCGCCTCTCGATCAATAACTCAAGTAGCCTGAAGCTCACTGTTTTCTTCAGCATCACTGATGTGATTGTAATTGGCACCAAAACCTTTGTGTACATGTAGTGGATGTATTTTGACAAGCAGAGTGATCGGATAAATGTCTCCTTTAAACAAGGCTGACTGGGTAACTCAGGAATAGGTTATGAACGTCCGTAAACAAGAGTAATGGTTTGCTGGCAGTGAGATTCAAAGGAATAATCAAATCACAGGGTTCTGATGACTTCATTGAGCGCAAAGCTCGACTTAGTCATATTTTTAAATCATATATTGGCTGTGTTGTAGCTGCCATGCCAGGTTTCCTTGTAATAATAATCCTCATTTTTCTCATTTTTACAAAATAAAGGAAAAATATTTAGAAATTTTGGTAATTTCAATAAATTTTCACGTGATGAATTTAATAATGACCGCAACATTTTGGAAAGCGCCTTTCATGGCGGAAATAGACAGACGGTTGAAAGTGCAGCATTAAGCTGTACAGAGCAGAAGGCTTGAATCTCTGACTGTGCTGAGGTAGTTTGTTTCAGCCAACGGGAGGTGTAAGGGAGTTGTGAAACCAGCCTTGCTACTGTGGGGTAGGAAGAGGAGATTTGAGGAAGTGGCCACCCAGCCAACAGAAACATATACCTGGGAAGGATAAGGTTCTGCTATCCTCAGGGGAAGTGGAAATTAGAGGAGAGGGAGAAAAAAAATTGAAGCCCAAATTTTAAATTGAGCTGATTTTTCCCAAACCACCGCAAATATAAATGGGCTTAATATTTTAAAATGGACGCCCATGGGGTTCAAATGGTCAATCGCTCCACTTTACAGATGGCGTTCTATAAAATGGAGCACTTAAAGAGGCCACTGCAGCTTGAAATCTACTGAACAACTTGTGAACTTACAATCAACTGGCGAGTGCTGCCATCAAACCCTGGCCTCGTTTCACTGCAGTCTTTTCATATTCGGCATCTCTTTTGTGCGGCACACACGCACACACACACAAAAAATAAAGCGCTGGGGATGTAATGAGGTCTGTTTAGAATGCAGAAGGTGTAGGCACATACACACAGCAGAGGAGAGGAGTTAAGCTCTAACATCTGTTCAGCTCTGCAAGAAGTGACACAGCCACCTGCCAGAGGGAGTGTGGCTCACCACATCTCTGTTGTCGGGAAGGCATCAAAAATATTTGTAAATACTAATGAGTAGTCTGTCAGGCTTCATACGGAGCAGTGAGGTCAGTTGGGGAAACCTTTTCCTTAGCATTTCCCCCTCTGACCCCATTTTTTTTAGAATGGTGTAGTTTTACTGTTTTTACTGCTACTATGGGGTGGGGGGTGAAAGTGAGGAGAAAACTATTTGGAGACGCAAGATCTCTCGTTTTTTTGCTCTTTCTGGTAAACAAAGGGCCACTGTGTCTTTTTAATACAAGAACCCTGTGCGGTAAAACATATAGTCAGTTTACTTTACAGTATGTTCTATGAAGCCGTTTGAGACGTCTCAAAGGCGCGATATCTGTATCTGTATCTCCGATGTATCAAGGGCAAGCATTAAATCCGAATGCAAGCGATGTTATTACAGGGAGACTTCAAGCAAAACCGAAGACTTGTACGCTCAGAAGCTTTTGGCAGTATTTTGGTTAACGTGTATAATTGCTCACTCAGCAAGTCCTGATTTGCAGGTAGGCAGCCAGGAGGAGGTGCTGTGTTGCTTCCCTCACACCCGCCCCTCCCCTTCCCTAGTCAGTGTGCTTTACCTCCCAGCTCACTAAAGACCTTGGCAAGGATCTGGAGATTACCCGTCAACCTTGATAGTCAAGACAACATCCACATGTCCTACCTCCTCTGCCCAGGAAAAATCTGGAACTCTCTCCCCCAAAAGGCTGTGGATTATGGCTGCATCCATTCAAATTTTCAAGACTGAGGTGGATATATTTTTATTAGGTCAGGGTATCAAGGGATATTGGGCAAAGGCAGGTAATTAGAGCTAAATCAGCCACGATCTAATAGAATGGCAGAACAGGCACGAGAGGCTGAATGGCCAACTCCTGTTGCTGTGTTTCTATGACAATGGTGCAAGAAATCGGAGGAACAATGTAGAAGAGAAATTTTGAGATGCTCGTGAGCGGGGAGAAGGGAACACAGGCAAACCCTGCCCTCTTAACACGTTTTGACGAGTAAAAAACTACTGGAGTTCGGTATTTTATTTTACTGGACGTTTTGATTTCATGCTAAGTGTAAGCAGGGTCTCCTTGGAGCTGAACTGGCTCCAAGGTGCCGTGCCTGGCATTGGATTGTTGGAATCAAGTCAGCCCTCTGTGATGGTTTCCAGTCCGGTTCCTGAGCCAGGCGGGTCCACAGTATTCCAGAGCACTGCTGACGACAGCACACCCCAGCCTGGCTCATCGGCAGGACCTGGAAGGGCAGACCAGTCACTGGAGCTAGGGAGTCAGCCCACTCAGCTCCTGTTAACCCCGCAAGCCAACGCCCGAACGGGTAGGGTGGTCCTAGCTGGACAAGCAGCGAGGGAGGTTTGTGGGACGGACAGCATTATCAATGGCAAGCTATGTGATTTTAGCTGGTTAGACTCCAGCAGTTACCCCAACGTACACTCTGGGGTTCCCAAGCTTTGGCTCTTGCCAACCTGTGCCTAATACTTTCCGGAATTAGGTAAGCAGAATGTTTCCTTCAAGGGAGAGAGTGTGCAGGTGGGATGCATGGAAATCTCAGCTTGGTTTGGATATTTTTAAGCACGGAGATGGGTTTCCGTATGTGTCAGGCACCCAGCTTACCAAAAAAAAAGTTAAACCTGTTGAATTATCTAGTGCAGAATTGATTTGGCATTTTACAGAGTACATTGATGTGCTTAATCAATACTATCTAAAAGCTTGAGATTGGAAAAAAAATTGTATTGCTGAATATTATCTATGAAATCCAATTCTTCATTTCCCCTCTTCACTGATACCAACATGGGAGCAATTCATGCAGCAATGAATGCTGCTTGTACAGTGTATGACATTTTACTGAGTGAAGATACTCATCTACACTAGTTAATGACAACATTAGGCACATTTCAAGAATGCCAGCAGAAGATCTTTGCCATTAAACAATAAACGCTTAGTCACATTCCATCCATCAGTTAGTTTGGATCTGTATGAATAAGTTGGTGTCTTATCTCACAGCCATTCACTATCACACATAAAATGCATAGTCAATTCACTTTGCAGTATATTCTGTGAAGTGATTTGAGAACGTCTCAACGATGTGATAAGGCGCTGTATCAAATGCAGTGTTTATTATTATGATTAGCTAACTACTTCCACTTAGACTTCCTGCTTGCTTCATGTGCGGATTCAAAAGCATGTAGACATGTGCATGTTGCCAGAGTGATTCATATTTTTGGCAACACTAACACACCAATGGAATAGAAGCCTTTGTTGTTGTAGTTGGGGTCTTTGCATCACAGGCCCATGATTGCTCAGAAGGGAACAGACATTAGGAACCCAAGACATTAACAAACATAACTGGGAAAGATTCTATTTTTATGTGTGTGGGTGGGTGGGTTGGGGAGGGGGAACTAATGATATTTGAAAGAAAATTTTGATTGTGAAAAGAGCCTTTTCTGGCTGATCTCTGTGCT